GCTGAGTCTCCAGCTGCAATATGCCATGTGCATCCCAGCTGCATTTTAAAAGCAGCCTGACAAAGGGAGATTTGGGCTGCAGCACTGAACACCTCTGCCCCAACTTCGTCGTGGGGAAGACAAGGCAAGACAGAGCTGAGCCTCACACTTCTGCCTGGTCCCTACAAGCTTTGCCCCTGCGGCCAGTGGGACAGGGATGTGATTGTGGGGCACCAGCCTCCGGTGCCACTTGCTGTTTCGTTATCTCGGACAGAAATGGGAGCCTTCAAATCGATGGCAGCGGCACCGTGTGGGCCCGGGAGGCATCGTCTTGTGCTGGGGCTGGAGCAGGCAGCTCCTTCGTCTCAGATCTGCTGAGCCCAGAGCTGTGGGGCCCTAAAACCAAGCCCTAAAATCTCAGTAGCAACGCTTCATCTATATCCCCCTCCCATGTGAGACCCCTTAGCACCCTCCCCTACATCCAGCCTCTTTCAAATCCCACAGAACCCCCCCAAAAACACATCCTGAGCGAGTCGCTGCATGGTGTGGCTGGCCTGGGGGCTGCAGGCAACCCACTTTTACAGGCACAGCTCTGCCCAGGGAACCAGGCTTCCTCGCTTTTCTTAACCCTGGGCAGGGAATTTGCATGCCTCCATAAGGAAGCAGTGTGGTCTGCAGCATTAATTGACCGGCCGTGAGATGCTAATGAGTGCAGGCTGCACCTTGGGGCGCAGGGAGCAGCCTCCTGGGAAGCAGTGGGGCTGGCCTGGGTATTTGGGTGCTGTGTGAGGTGTCAGCTCTGTGGTGCAGCAGCAGGATGCCTGCTGGAGGCCAGGCACAGCTTCACCCAGAGCCTCCTGCTCAGAGCAGGGTGAGGGCCCTGCCTGCAGTCCCCCTGGACCCAACCCGTTGTGCCCCAGCAAACAGTGCCCATTTTGCACCCCAACTTTGACATGGGTGCCCCGTGGCCCCAGTCCTGCCTGTTTGGTCCCTGGGCCAGTGGGTGTGCTGTGTGATTTTCGAGGCTGCTTTCCCATCCCCTCCTCCCACACCAAACCCAAGGGCTGGGAAAGCCCCAGGGCCAGGCTCAAAGACAGGGAAAGAAGCAAACCCCAGGCGGGAGGGGACCAGCAGCAGCACGCGCTGTCATTTAATGTGCAAGACTGGCAACAAAAGACTGAGGGCACCGAATCTGGAGCAAAGAGTCATCTCCAGGGGAGTCCTTGCTCCTTGGCAGGGGAAGCCAGCGGTAGGTCAAGGGCTGCAGAGAGCGTCTGGGGAGATGTCTTCAGCAGGCTAAGCCTCAGGGAAGATCAGGAAGCCAGAAAAGATGCTGTCAGACCCTTCGATCCCCACGATGGCGTTCTTCTCCGTTGGCTCCAGCCAGACGGAGTCGTTCATTGCCATCTTGAGCACCACGCCGCCGGTGGTGATCTGGTAGCTGCTGTGCACGTAGTCGCAGAAGGTCAGCACCACGTCGCCCTTGCTGCCACCCCGGCCCTTTTTCATTCTGAGGCACAGGCTGCCCTTGGACGTGACGTGGTAGGTGAAGTAGTAGATGCCCGGCACGCGGCAGGTGAAGCGGCCGTAGCGGTTCTCGTAGTGACCCTTCTCGTTCGTGATGACACGGTCAAAGCGGATGGGCTGGTCCCGGCGAGGGAAGATGCTGATCGTCCTGGCCGCTGAGAAGGCGGACTTGAGGGTGGCCTTGTAGTCCCCAGAGTCTCCCTGGGGACCGGGGGGTCCCGTGGGGCCCTGCAGTCCCTTTGAACCCATGGGGCCCCTGGGGCCAATCTTCCCCGGGTACCCTGGTGTTCCTGGGTCTCCCTTCTCCCCAATTTCTCCTTCGTCCTCCGCCCGGCCAGGGGGACCTAAAAAGCAGGAGGAAGAGGTGTTGTGGTCACAGCTGAGCCCCGTGGGACTGCAGAGGGGACACTGAAGGAAACCACAGGGACCTGTGCTGGGCAGTGGGTGAGTGGAGACCCCTGCCCACCAAGCAGGCATGGCTCCCTTTGCTCTCTGCCTGTGTACACCCTCCATCCCCGGGTCCCTCACGGTGTTTTCTTCATGGTGTTGCTGTCTGCCCATCTCCTGCTGTCCCTGAGCATCACCCGTGCCTGATAACACCACAAAGGGCCTTGTATAAAGTGGTTTCTGCTGTACCACTTTCCCCCCAGCCGCGTGCTTTTCACCACGTTTTTTTTTTTCTCCTCTTGGTGTTTGTAAGATGATGTTTTCCACACCTGCAGCCCCTACCCCTTACCTCGATCACCCTTTGGGCCATTCTGTCCATCTCTGCCATTGCTGCCAGGCTGGCCGGGTGCCCCTGGGATGCCCGGGATGGTGCCGTAAGTCTTGCAGAGCGTGGCACACGCGAGCTGCCCTCCGGCTAAGCAGATCAACATCACCCACATGGTCTGCATCTTGTCTTCCCTGCTGGAGCACAAAAGGATGCTGAGGTGCTACGTAGCCCCAGGCAGTGGGAGGGATGAGGAAGCCCCTCTGTGCTGCTCTGGAGGAAGATGCCTAGAAGCACTCCTGGGTGATAACACGAATAAGGGAAAGCACCTCCTTGTGGATCTAAATCCACCCTGCTCATCACCCCTCTGGGCAGGTTGGGAAGGATTCTCAGTCTCTTCCCACGTCGACAAGTGTCCAGAGCTCCAGCCACATGAACGCCCACAAGTTAGCCCATCCCAGAGGACTGATGCCCAGCCTCGTTGTGCTGCTGCCAGGAGTCTGTGCCTGAGACAGCCGTGCTGCGCAGGAGGGACACACAGGTATGTCCTGCAGCTCCCTGCTCTGAGCCCCGCTGCTCCCTCAGAGGAGAGATTCTTCATCCCAGCTTAGGACCACAAAGCGCAGGGCCAAATCCTTCCCCAGGCCAGAGCAGTTTCAAGCCTTTGCTTTCCAGCACTGTGTCTGAGGAACACCTTTAGTCTTTGCAGGTAGAAAAGATATCACCCAACTTGCCCTCCTAACCCCCGTGGCTTCCCCTTCTGTCCTGCTTGCTCCATCCCAGAAGTATTTCTGTATCTAACTAGCCTAACAGGGACAGTCACCTGGGCTTCCCTGGGGTCCCATCTTCCTTCTGCCCTCCCTGCATCCCACAGCTCGGCTCCTTCCCCCAGCTCCTGGTGCAGCCAGGGCTGGGGTAAGCACCGGGCACAGAGAAGTGCCAGTGACACAAGGATCGGTTGCCCCCCTTTGTGCTTTTGGGTCCCCCATGTGCTCCTACCTGCAGGAGGGAGCTGGTTCCAGGCAGCTTGCTCTTACCCCGAGCTTCTCGTTGCACAGACCGGGAAGCAGAGCAGGACACACCAGCGTCCTGCTTGGAAATGACCCTGCAGGGAAGCAGAAGTTTGCTGCAAGGATTGTTGTGAAAGAATCTGGCCACATCCTTTTTTTTTTTTTATCTTTAGTTCATTGTCACTTTCATATCCCTTATGGATGCCATCTGTCAGCTCAGCAGAACGTGAAGTCCTCAAACAGTGACCCAGGGTCCCTCAGGTGAACAGCTCTGGCCCTGGGGAGCAGGGGGACGTTCACCATGCCCTGGGGGGGTCTCCGTGCCTTGCTCAGCTCTGCTTGCTCTGGGGAACACTGCCATGAGCTCGATGCAAATTCAGGGCAGTCCCTCGGGAGAGAGGAGCATTGCACGCTCACTTTGCTGGCTTCGTTCAGGCTTCTCTGCACATACCCAGCTCTGCTGGGAGGAGACACCAGCCCAGAGGGTGTGACATGGCCTGAGCATCTATCACCTTGAATCCGGTCCCCAGGTTCTCCTAAATGTTGTGAATGGGAAGTGATTTTACCCTGCAATAAAAGTATTTCCAATTCCACTCTCTGTGGATGCCCTGTGGAGGTAAAGTGTAGACAATTGGGAGAAGAGCTCTCCTGCTCCAGTGTGCAGCAAGCCACCAAGAACAAGCTTTGGTGGTTTTTGGTGGGTTCTGCAGCCTCCACAAACATCAGCTCCTTCTCTCTGGCTCTGTGAGGCCTCTTGTGCTTCCCCTGCCCTGTCCTTCCATGTCCCCTATGGGTAACACCCATCCTGGTCCAGGTCCCTGCAGAGCTAACCCTGTACCTCTGGGCTTTACTACCCCTCGTGGAATCCTTGTTTGGTGGCACCAAGCCACACACCAACCTGCTGCAGTGGGGCAACTCTCACTGTTGTCCTACCACACCGGGTGGAGGTGGCACATGTCCTTGGATGTGGCTCAGATCCCTTCCCCAGAGGGTCACTGCAGTGCTGAGCGGTCACTGAGGGTGACAGCAGAAGTCACCAGGGAAGAGCTGTTTCCCAAAGCCACATCCACGCAGCCCCTTTTGGCCAAGAGCTGGCCACCCTGCACCTTTTTGCTGTGAAAACCACGGCCTCTCTTGAAGGAGTTTCTTGGGTTCAGCCCAAGGCTGGTTTTGGTCTTTGCCAACCCCCTGCTATTCCCTGTTGCTATCATGCAACACCCTCAGGCACCCCTTGGCCATTTCTTCCCAGTTAGCAGCGACGTCTTTGTCCCCAGATAAATTTCTGGTGCCTGCACTATGCATGCGGAGGTGGCGGAGCCCTCTGGCTGTCATCTGAAAATGGGGAGGGGGTAAGTGCCTGCTGAGGCGGGGTCCCTGGGGATGTCCCAGCTGCCTGACACCTGGCTACAAGGCTTGCTGTGTGGGCAGCTGAATTGCATCCACTTGGGTGGGAAGGGGAATATCAGGGCCCCTTCCTGGGGGCGTCTTGTCCCCGTTAAGTGAGCACTGCTCAAGGGGTGGGTCCCCTTCCTGCTGTCAGTGCAGCTGGGGGCCCTACTGAGTGAGCAAAGCCAGCGCTGTGAATGGTTTGTGAGGCTGGTGCTGAGCACAGCCCAGCCAGCGAGGGCTCAGGGACGTCCAGACGTGGTGCAGGCAAGCAGCCAGTTCACATACACACGCGCTCCTGTGCGTGCCACAGCCAGCCAGCCACACATGGGCTCCACCTGCAGAAAGGCAAATCACGAAGAAAAAAAAAGATGCTCAGCCAGGAGTACTGGGGAAGGATTTATTGACACTTTCCACAGCCAGCTCATGGCAAAGCTGTTGCTTCCAGCCTGCTCCAGGACCCCTGACTGTCCCTGGTGCATCCAGTGTGGGAAGGGGAGAGACACAGAAAGACCCTTGAGCCCTGGCTCCAGCAGCACAAGGTAACGGGGTATTATCAGGGCAGTGTGTGCGAGGTGGAGATGTTTTGCTGCACGAGGCAGTGCCAGCAGGACTCCAGGGGCTTGGTGCTGTCACTGCAGGCACAGATCCAGCTGGATGTGCCCGGCCCCCTTGCTCAGGGACTGCACGCAAACCCCAAGCCAGGGGATTATGGCTGGGGTGGACTCTTTTGCTGGGGCTTCCCACCCAGCAGAGAAACCTGGGGCATGAGCAACAGGCCTGGCAGCGAGCAACAGAATTTGCAGGGCAGGGCAAAGGGCTTGGTGTGCTGGGCTGAGCTCCGGTGCTCCTCTAGTCTGGGAAGAGCAGGAACCCCGAGAAGATGCTGTCGGAGCCACCGATGCCCACCATGCCATTGTAGTCAGTTCACCTCCAGCCAGACCTCGTTCCCAGCCTGCAGGTGGAGGAGGATGCCACCTGAGCTGACCTGCATGGTGTTGGTCTTGTGGTCGCAGAAGCTGGCCATCTTTTTCATGTTCTTGAACAGCAGGACGCAGAGGTTGGCCGTCTGTGAGCTGTGGAAGACGAAGTAGTAGAGGCCGGGGAGCTTGCAGGTGAACTTGCCGGTGGTGGTGTCGTAGTCGTTGTTGGTGTTGGTGATGACGTGGTTGAAGATCACAGGGATGTTCTTTAAGGGGTGCTCAGCTGTCTGCCTCGTCACCGAAAACGCCGACTGGTGCTTCTGCTTGTAGCTGCCTGGCATGCCTGGCTCTCCGGCACTGCCCATCTCCCCGGGGTCTCCAGGGGGACCAGGGGGACCAGCGGGGCCCGTCTTGCCTGGCAAGCCAGGACTGCCTGGCTCCCCTTTCATACCCTTGGGGCCTCGTGTAGCAGGAATGGCTGGGATGCCTGTGGAGAGGTGGGGAGGGAAGGAGTGAGCCACAAGGACATGGGGAGAGGCTCCCCCAGACCCTTTCCATCAGACAGAAGAAGGTTGTTTCCTCTCCTTCTGCCCCGTCTGCAGATTCTGGGAACATCAGGCACTTCTCCAAGTGCAGGGACGTTGCTCTCCATACCAGCAACTAAGGCAGGCTCAGTGCCTGTGGTTTGACAGCCTTCATGGTTCCCCTCCTTGCTCACTCACCTGGCTCTCCTTTGGCTCCCTTCAGCCCATCTCGGCCATCCCTGCCTGGCACACCCGGCATGCCTGGCAGGCCTGGAGCCCCATAGCAGCTGTGGGAGGGATCTCCGGTCACTGCAGACCCCAGGTACAGAGGTAGGAGAGTGAGGGCCAGACAGAACTGCTCCCAAAAGCTCTGCCTCATTTTGGAGCTCTGGATGGTGGAAAAGGGAAAGAAAGTGCTGGGATAAGGTGCCATGGCAAGGTGGCTTTCCGTCTGTGAAGCAAAGGAGGCTCAGTGCTATGAGGGTCACAGCAGCAGGAGCCTTCAATATTACCTTCCCCATGCCCATTGCTGGGTGGTGGGGAGGCCGATATGTGATGATACCAGGCTCTGGTATCATCTCCAACCCCAGGGCAGCCACCAGTGGGTTAAAATTTCAGTCTGGACAGAGCCATGAGGACTTGGGGTATCCACTGCCAGCCCCAAGCTCTGCTGGCTCAGCACCCCAAGCCCCCTGCAGACATGCACAGCACTGCAGAGCCATGCACCATGCTGCCCCGAGGCTGGAGCTCCAGGCTGCACCGAGCTGATCTCACCCATCCTCCAGCAGCAGCCTGACTCCTCCTGCACAATGGGATCGAGTTCCCATCCGCTGGGGATCTCCCAGCACAGCGCCTGGCCCAGGGGAGTGGGTCTTCCCCCGGGAAGGAGAGGCATGCATGCCCCCACAAGACGTGAGCTACTGGAGTGCCTGGCAGTGCTCCTGCCTCCTCCACAGCACCCAGCACTGCGCCGTGCTGCCGGACCCATGCAGCCCACCCCAAAGGAACTGTACAGCACCTCTTACCTCCAGCAGGGGAGCAGGGTGTGGGATCCTGCGCTGTGGAGCCCTGTGTGCTGAGGGCACTGCCTGCTGGCTCTGCACGACCTGCGTCTCCCTCTGCGACACCCTCCCGGAGGAAGTCACACAGTTAGGAAAGAGCCCGATAGGGACACGCAGCCGCTGGCTGGCCCCCATCCGAGTTTCACATCCTCCTGCCTGGTTATTTTCTCTGAGCAAGCATTTCCCTGGCTGTCCTGCAAGACCTGTGCTTGTGCCAGGCGTTGTCACCACAGCAGCAGGGTCTGGGAGAACAGAAGTACCAGCGTGGCTGGACAGGGAACTTTTGCTGAGTCTCCAGGAGAAAAGGAGAGTTCATGTTCGGTGGAAGAAGGGATGGGCAATTTGGGGAGAGTACAAGGAAGTTGCCAGCATATGCAGAAAGAAAATCAGAAAGGCTAAAGCCCAGCATGAGCACAACCTGGCCACTGTGGCTAAAGACAACAACAAAAAAATGTTTTTACAAATATAAATGTATTAATGGTAAGAGGAGGGCCAAGGAGAACCTCCATCCTTTCCTGGATGCAGGGGGGAACATGACTGATGAGGATAAGGAAAAGGCGGAGGTTCTTAATGATGTCTTTACATCTGTCTTTAGTAGCCAGACCTCTTATCCTCGGGGTACTCAGCCTCCTGACCTGGAAGTCTGGGACAGGGAGCAGAAGAACCCTCCCACATTTCAGGTGGAAACAGAGACCTGCTGCTTCACCTGGACTGTTACAAGTCCATGGGGCCACAGTTAATCCACCCGAGGGTGCTGAGGGAGCTGGTGGATGTGATTGCTGGGCTGCTTTCCATTATCTATCAGTGGTCATGGTCATCCGGAGAGGTTCCTGATGACTGGAGACTTGCTAACGTGGCGCCCATCTATAAGAAGGGTCATAAGGAGGATCCAGGGGACTACAGGCCTGTCAGACCGACCTCAGTGCCAGGAGAGGTGATGGAACAGGACGTCTTGAATGCAAACACGCAATGTACGTGGTACAATCGAGGGATCAGGCCCAGCCGGGATGGGTTCAGGAAAGGCAAGTCCTGCCTGACCAACCTCATCTCTTTGGGTGACCCGCCTGGTGGATGAGGGAAAGGCTGTTGGCGTGGTCTGCCTAGGCTTCAGCAAAACCTTTGGACATAGTTTCCCACAATATTTTCCTGGAGAAGCTGGCAGCCTGTGGCTGGGACAGGCACACTGCTGGGTTACAAACTGGCTGGGCGGCCGGGCCCAGAGACTTCCCCCGATCCTCCCCATAAGTGAAGGCTCTGCTCATACACTCAGGTCCCTCCTGTCTTATCTAGAAACAAGCTGGGATCACTTCTCTCCCTGGGCAGCTTGGGACAGCCCAGGACATCAACAGTTTGCTGCAAGTAGGAAAGAAACCACGAGCAGTTGTCGGGGAAGAAGAGTTTTATTTGTACTGATGAGGACAATGCGAGAGGTAACAGCGGCCTTGCACCAGAAAGGCAATTACAGTGGTTAGTGTAGCAAAAGCAGTGGCACATGGTGATTTCACACTTGGGAACAGCACCAGAGAACAGCCCCGGTGACAACTGACCCCCTTTGGTGTAGGGTCTGAGCAGTTGGGAGCAGAAAAGGCTACTGGGGCCTCCAGGAGGCAGCGGGACGGCCTGCCTGCATCCCACAGACAAGAGCAGGCTCATCACAGCCTGGAGGGAATTGCTGGGTTGGTCTCGGCACTGCAGTGGTCACCCACAGCCTGGCTGCTTGGTGATCCTGGCAGAAGCACAGGGCCTGGCTGGCTGTTAAATTTGAGGCCATTGCTGAGGCCTTTGCTGTGCTATAAGGCCATCCTACACGCTCGCAGGGCTCAAAGACACGGAGACACACACACAGCAGTGCTCTGACGCTAAGCAGCTTAGCTCTGGGCTGGCAAGTCCTGAGGCTGACGGCCCGTCAGCCCGTCTGTGGGAAGAGCATGAAGCCGCTGAAGACGCTGTCTGCCTCGGAGCCGCTGTAAATCTGGCTGCCCTTCACGGGGTCAAAGCTCACTGAGACCTGGTCACCCACTGCCAGGCTCAGCACGCTGCTGCCCGAGTTCACCTGCAGGATGTTGCGGCTGTTGTTGTCGCAGAAGCTGACCACACGCTCCCTGTTCTTGGTGATGCTCAGGCAGAGGTCTCCGATGGAGACCACTTGAAAAACAAAGTAGTAGAGCCCGGGGATGCGGCAGGTGAACTGCCCGCTCTGGCTACTGTAGGAGTTCTCCTGGTTGGTGATGATGTTGTCGAACACCACCGTGCTGCCCCGGTTCGTCTGGGACTTCCGTGAGGCAGAGAAGGCAGGACGTGGCTGCTCCAGGATATTGCCAGCCTTCCCCTTGGCTCCTCTCGGTCCTGGCTGCCCTGGCACCCCAGGGGGGCCGGGTGGACCATGGAAGCCCCGGTTTCCTGGGTTGCCAGGAGGCCCCGGCTCACCTTCATCCCCTTTGGGTCCGCGGATGCCTGTCCTTGGTGCCGGTTTCCCTGGGGAGAGACATTGAGGTGATGTTCATGCCACAGCTGGCAGGGCTGGCATGGCCCAAGCAGCTCCTGCAGCCCACTCTGCTCCTGCCAAGAGGCTTGAGACACTGCACGTCCCTGGCTGCCCCTTACCTGGTTCCCCCACATCACCCTTCTGCCCTGGCCTCCCATCGAGGCCAGGGACCCCAGGGAATCCGTCTTTGCCATCCGGTGCCCGACACACCTGCTCTGAAGGCAGGGCTGTGCCCAGCACTGCTGCTAGGGCGCTGGCTGCCAGCCAAAGGCCAAGACGCATCCTGCAGTCCCTGCAAGCACAGGAGAGGGGGAATTTGGGGTGGAGGCAAGATCACAGCAAACATGCACGTGGTGCACGCAGCGACAGATGCACCTTGGACATGGACATGCAAGTATAAAAATGGGTTTTCATCCAGAGCTGTGGAGATGTGCAGTGCACAGATACAAGCGTGCATGCACAGACCCACTACGCCACCTACGTGTTGTTTAATTCAGGTAGCCAGACACCACATCGGAATGTTGAAAATAATTTCCATGTTTCGTTGTGTGATCTGAAATCACGGATGTTACTGAAAAGCCCTGATGTGTGCCCATGGCAGGGCTGTGGGAGAGCCTGGGACACAGGGCAGGGTGTAAAGCAGAGGTTGAAGAGGTTGTCTCCTCCCATGTTTGGGGAGTAAGCACTCCCATGGGATGGAGAGCACAGGTGAGGAAAGGGTGTAAAGAGACACAGTGGAGGAGAGAGAAACAGGAAAGGAATAAGCGGTAAAAGGATAAAAAAAAGCACGAGGGATGCAGGTCCCCAACACGCAGACCTGGAGGAGAGGAAGGATGTCCTGAACACACACCAAAGCCCGGGATAATCGGTCTGGGAATGGCCTGCAGAACCCAGCAGTGTCCACATCCACATGGTGGAGTGCGAACAGATTTACCCCTCCTCCCCTTTTTCCTACTTCAGACTCCTGTGGAGGCTGGGGGGCAAGTGGAAGAAGGATGAGGACAGGGAGCAAAGACGGGAGAGAGGTGGCAGAAGAGGCACGTGTCCCCATCTGTCTGGGGTGACTTACCTCCTGGCAGGGGTGAGAAGGGAGCAGTGAGAATCGGCAGCTCTGTTTGCTGGCAGCTCTTCCTCAGGAGCAGGGGGGAAGAGCAGCAGGGAGGGCGGGATGTCCTTGCATGCACAGAGGTTTACATGGTTGCAGAAGTGCCAAGTTTCACTTCTTTCCACAGTTTCTTTTCTGCCCTCGACCCTGGCTGTGCCGGTCACAGTCAGGGAACAGCCTGGTCAGCAGAAGTGCTGGCGCCTTCTGGGACCTCAGAGAAGTCCAGCAGCACGGGGAAACACCAAGATGGAGGAGACCCAAAGGCAGGGCAAAGCCCTGCTGCTGCAGGAGGTGGCTGCTCCAGCAGCCACGCAAAGGATGCTCCCCTTGGGAAAAGCTGCACTGAGCTCACCCTGGAGTCTTCTCTTCTCCAGGCTGAATATCCCCAGCTTTCTCAGCCTTTCTTCACAGGAGAGGTGCTCCAGCCCTCTGATCATTTTAATGACCCTCCTCTAACTGCTCCACATCCCTCTTGTGCCCCAGACCTGGACACAGGGCTCCAGGTGAGGTCTCACAAGGGCAGAGCAGAGGGGGGACAATCCCCTCTCTCCCCTGCTGCCCACTCCTCTGTTGATGCAGCCCAGGATGAAGCTGGCTCATGTCGAGCTTTTTATCCACCAGAACCTCCAAGTCCTTCTCTGCAGGGCTGCTCTCAATGAGTTCTCCCAGTCTGTGCTCATGCCTGGGATTGCCTCGACCCAGGTGCAGCTCCTTGCACTTAGACTTGTTGAACTTCATTAGATTCACCTGGGCCCACTTCTCAAGCTTGTCTAGAAAAAAAATTATTTGCCTTGAGAATGGCCAAGCGCTGGAACAGGCTTCCTAGCAAGGTGGTTGATGTCCCATGCCTGTAAGTATTCAAGAAACATTTGGGTAACACCCTCAATAATATGTTTTACCTTTTGGTTAGCCCTGAAGTGGTCAGGCAGGTGGACTCAATGATCTTTGTAGGTTTCTTCCAGCTGAACTGTTTTGTGCTGTGCTATGCTGTTCTAGTAAAAAAATCAACCATGGAGACTCTTGCACACAAAACTTTGCTCATCAGTATATCTCCATTAATAATTACCTTTGGAGATCTATCACTGAGCTGGTCTTTAATTCACATCCCCTCTTAATGCAATATAATACACATTTTTAATCAAAATGTCAAGCCCATAATAAATCAGATGCCCAGAAGAAAAAGCAATTTTATTCTATCAACATAGTTCCTCTGTCAAGTAGGCCTGTAATCGTGTCAAGAAAAGATGACAGGTGAGTTTGAAAAGACCTGCCTTACAAAAAATGGTGTTTCTGGACAGTAATTGTATTTCTGCCCTATTGCCCTTTGTTAATATACAGCCAAAATGAGACCACTCCATCATTTCGTCCAGGGTTGATGGATGTCCTGGTGCTCACGTGTCTTCTGTCCCTGACTGTCCCCTTAACCTCACTTAAATGCTGAATTACAAGGGACTGGACACGGATTTCTAGCATCTCATGGAAGCTGGTGTTGGGCCGGACAGCACCTCCTCCAGGTCCTTGAGCCCCCTGAGCAGTGCTTGGCCCCATTCGCTTGAGTTTGGGGGATGTTGTGGCTAAGCCAGGTCTTCCTTGCCCATCTTCCGAGCGCCTCTCTCCTCTTGATCTGCATCTCGGACACCCATGGCCCAGAGGAGCTGCAGGCTGTGGTAGCCACCGTATGGCTGAGTCCTGGTGGCTTCAGCAAGCCACGAGGTGGCAGTGCTGGCTCAGCCACGCGTGGTGGCGTAGCCCCGGAGATGCCCGAGATCCCACAGCCCACATCTCAGCATGTCCGACTGCACGTCTGGGATAAGCACCGATAAATCACAGCTCGAGAGCCAGAATCAAGCAGCTCCCCGGTAGGTCCACAAATGCATTTCCCTGAGACTGGGAGCAGTTTGGCACCCCCAAAATGGTGTTCCTTCAGTGAGGGCCAGGCCAGTGGGAGCTGTGAGGGGCAGCAAAACCCTGGCAGGTTATTTCTGGAGTGACGAGAAGCCTCGTGCGGGTGGTGCAGCACCACTGCCAACAGACTCTGGCATGCAGAAGGGGCTGGGATAACAGAGGGAAACCCCAGGGGACATGAAACGGCTCCATGCCCAAGGCAGACAGGAAAATAAGTGCACATGGGAGAAACTAGAGGATGAAAATGCTCTGCAGGGCACTTGGTGGTCCCACACCCAACCCCAGAGAGGACAGATCTGTGCTCCCCTTTGCTTTCTTGCTGCCCTCTTGTCTGGTGGTGCCAGGCAAGGTAGGTCAGTGCCAGCCCACCCTTGCAGCTCTTCACGGAAGAAAAATGACCCCTGCAAAGCCTCCTCCCTGTGTTCCCAGTGCTGGCAAGCACACTTGAGTTGCCTGACAGCAGACAACAGGGAGAGATGCTCCTCTGCTGCCTTCCCTGCTGGGGATCCCCCGCAGCGCTGAGCAGTGATGGGCAGGAGCTCTCGGAGGAAGATAAATCAGGTAGCTAGCACCTACCTGTCACTGTGCAGGAGGCAGTGACAAAGACAGGTGGTGGGCAATCACCAGCGCTGCCAGGTACCGCACACATCACCACTTTCAGTCACTGGCATCCCAATCTGCCTCCCGCACCCGCCGGGAGCGTGGGACTGCTCAGAGCATCTGTGTCTGCAGCCACTGATGGCTTCACAATGCCTGAATAACCGAGCCCCTTTCACTGGAAAGCTGTGATTTTGCTGTCGTTGAGCTGGCCTGTCCCAAAATGCCCAGCCCTGCTGACCACCAGATAAACTTCCTGCAAGGTGTTACGAGGTTGGCGTGGATTCAGAAGTGTCCCACGTTTCTAACAATGAAAAAAATAGGCTGAAATGGTTCAGGTGCCCTGGAAGGATTTCCTGAGATGCCAGCTAAAAGTCAGGCTGCACGGGTACTCGACTCTCAATGTGTAACAAGTGCTGTTCCAGGAGAACATGACAGATTGCTTTACACAGAGCACGTGCGAGGGACAAAGACAGGTATAGGCTTTAAAAGCCAGAATTTCATGCTCTAGCCCTTGCTCCTTGTCTCCTGGCATTGGTGCACATCCTAGTTGGCTCATGGGATGAGGGGAGATAGATCAATGCTGAGCTGCCCTGGGCAATGCTGGGAAAGCTTGTCCCATCCCTCCTCTTCTTGGTCTATGCTATGGATCAGCGTTTTTCATTACTAGACCTCTACTGGATAATTTGGCTGATTGTTTACCAATCTTTAATGTATCTATTATTTATTTATTCACTTGTGTAACAAGCAGTTGCAGACTGAGCACTTTGGCATGTAAATGAGCTGCTCTAGTGCTTGTCACTGAAATTTGTAGATTGGAAGAGTTTGCAATCAAACACAGCCAGAATCTAAATTACGACGTTTCAGGCACTAATAGCTGGGAGAAGACGGGCAGGATGTGCCATAAATAAGATGGGATCAGAGGAGGGTGCCCAGAGCTATACTGTCAACACGCCAGGAGCCCCAGGGCATGCAACAGGAGTACCTGCTTTGCAGTGCCAAAGTGTGTCTGGCAGGGCTAGCATTGCCTTGGGGCTGGTTCCCCAGAGACAAAGGGAAAATTGATGAAGCAAAATAGTGGGAGCTGGCCTGTGACCCAGCATTACTTGCACTGGTCTCTGAAGAGGGCTGGTTAGCCTGGCATGATGAGAATTATGCACACATGTTCACCAGGCATAGTGCTATAAGTCCCATTAGGGTTTGTGAAAGGACCTGAGAGATCTCATTTCCAGCTGCTTGCTCATGGCAGGAATATTTCCAACACTAAATCAAGGTGATCATTGCTTTGCCTACCTAATTCTTGAAAACCCTGCAAGGACAGAAATCACCCACCTCTCTGGAGACATGTCTCAAGGCTGAACCACACAGCAGTGAGGAATTGTTTCCTAATGTTCACCCTGGATCTTTTAAGATCCAGTTTGTGGCCACTGCTCATTGCTACATCATTTAGCACTGATGTGGAGCGTTTGGCTCCATCTTTCTTTCAATTGCTCCCAGGTAGGTCCAGCTGTGGTTATATCCCACCTTATCCTCCACCTCATCTGCCTGGCTACAGCCCAGGAGGGGTGCCCCGCCAACCCCCCACCCCCCTGTTGGTAATAAGGACTAATAATTTCCCTTGACCTACTGGCCACAACCCTCCTAATGTAGCCCAAAGTGCAGTTTGCCTTATCTGTGGTTTGCTCACCTTCAGCCTGGTGTCCACTGCTTCCCACACCAACCCTTCCCTGCTCCAGCAGTGATTTCCCAGCTTGTAGTCTGGGGTTTTTCCCACTCCATGTGCAGAAGGCAGTGCTTAATGTAGGCCAAGAAGAGAGAGCCCACAGCCCTTCTAAACATCCTCAAGGATTTAAAAACTGGTTTGAGAAATACAAACCCTAGTCCTTCCTTCCTTGTTTCAGCTGTTGGCTTGATGCTATGGACTCAGGAGACAAGGCTCTCTCAGAGACTCCCTGGACAGCGTGATGTTCCCTTCCAAATCCAAAGTGATGGATATAACAGAGGGGTGTGTGTAGGGGGGCACCATGTCCTTGTCTCTGGGCTTTGTTTTGACTCCCCAGTCTTGACTACATGGGGTTTGCACTCTTTGGGGCTGTCAGGCTAAGGCAGGACCATCTTGAATCCTTCCACAACCTGCTGCAGAGAGATGAAGGCAGGGAAATGTCAGTTGCTTGTCTGGCTCTTGCAAAGCCTGATGTGCCCTTAGTGGAGGGTGATGCCTGGGTGAGTCTGACAGTGTCCGAAAATACACCAGGCACAGAAATTTTGTCCCAGAGGAATAGGGATCGCCATGCACCTGCTTGCAGTGACACTTGCAGTGGCACCTTTCCTTGCACCCCTCTGCTCCCTGTGCGCAGCCAGACCCCGCTGCTGCCACAAGCTCTGCTGCCCACACAGCAAAATTCTGTGTGTCCTTCCCAGGCTCCTTTCTATGCCAGTGTCTGGCTTCCCTAACATAATGCCTCGAAAATGGAGTGGAAGTTTCCTGCAGGCTACTGTTAGTATTAACTGGGTCAGCGGCAGCTGGAGGTCCCTGCCAGCTGGAGGCTATTACAACTTATTTCTATTACAACTCGCTTACCACGGTAGCTTCTCCAGGAGCTCAGCTTCCTTCTAAGT